GAGAACTCGGCTAAGAAACAATAAGGCAAAAAAATGTCCACAAGGTAACAATAAAATCAATAATTGAGGCCCATAAGGTCAATATCAACCATCAACCTCGCTTCTCCACCGCATATCCGTCGTCCTAACTCCTGTCCCGTCATTCCATCCTCTTCTCCTAATCTGTCGCTGTCCTTCAAGCTCAAAATCGTGTGAATTGGTGGAAAATTGGTGGAGATATGGGGGAAATGGTGGATATCCGTGAATTTTGGGGAAGTGGCAATATGGGTCTTGAGAAAAAAAGCATGGAAAAAATAGGAAAAAATGTGGAAATGTGCCGTGGGCATTGGAAATGTGTCGGAGGCTTGAGGGTGCTCGTTGGAGCCTCGAAAAATGTGGTTCTGGCCTTGTTTGTGTGGTGCCCTCCTACAACATCATGTATGGAAACCGCTGAAGGCGGTTCCCACGAACTGCAACTACACTCTGCAACTGTCTTGTGCGCTGTCCCTTGTAACAACCCCCTCTTGTGACTCAACTGAACCTGTGTGCTTGTACAACTCTCAACATGTCCTATAAGTCTGGTTATATTGAGTCCTCTAGCGGTTCTTGCCGTGAGAACTCGAAGTCGCAAGTCGAAGACTCTCAACTTGTGTATCATCCTATGGAACCTGGATCCTACAGGACTTCATCACTCAGCTCTCCCCCCAGCACCCAACGGACGATGTCATACAACGATCTTAGAGATTGTGGATACTCTGAGGCTCATATTCCCATGATGCTGGCATGCTTGCTACGCACTAACCTGCATCTCCAGCCCAAACCACTTGACACAACTGCGCTCCCTTTATGTCAACCAACTCGCCTAAACTACAGCTATCCAACGCAACAAACCACATCCAATTTGATGGAGAATTGAGTGAGATAGCGTTGAGGTGGGGAATATCCAGCACATTTTTCCTAACTTTCCAACCACATATTTCCATGGTCCCAAAATTAACACATCCTCCCGACCAGCCACATCATGAACAATGGATATTTATCCCCATTTTTCTGAAGCCTGAGGGATGCCAGGGACCATCTGTACACCCCATTTCTCATGCATGTGCAATGAACATGTGACATGCATTGCAATACACAACTGGAATCCACATATCTCTGTGAATACCTCACCGATTCTCCTCATGTAACGTGCGTTGGAATTGCCTCGATGCCTTCTACCATCTGTACTATAACCTTGTCACCTAATTCCTAGCCAACTTTCCACTGTGAGATTTTCTAACATTTACTCCTCATGAAGGACCTGATGTTTACCTGGTTTTGGGGTGCCCACGGCTACCCTCCTACACCATCTAATGTGCCAGGTCCACCTAGTGCCTGTTATGACCCAGGTCAAAACAATTGACCTGGTGCATTTGTTCTTGCAACATGTCATGCACTTGCATGGCATGCCAACATCAATCATGTCAGATCGTGACACAAAGTTTATGTCCCAATTCTAGACTGAGTTGCACCAACTGATGGGTGTTAAACTCAAGTTAACCACCACATTCCATTCTCAAGGGGATGGCCAAGCAGAACGAGTGATCCAAATGGTGGTCCAGAGCCTTCAGTCATTCGTCCAACTTGATCAACAAGATTGGGCCATGCATATACCCATGGTAGAATGAGCACTGAACTCAAGTGCGAATAAATCAACAGGATTCACCCCATTTGAGCTAGTATATGGATACCTCCCACAAATGATCATGTCTCTGCCATCATCTGAGTTACCAGGGGTAAAATCCTTTGCCCAGCATGCCCTAGACAACATACAGGCTGCTCACGATGCAATTATAAAGAGCCGTGTAGAGCAGGCTGTTCAGGCGAACCGACATCAATGCCCTGACTCCCCCAAACTGAAGAAGGGGGATTACACATATCTTTCCACAAAAGATTTGAACCTCCCCAAGGGGAGGGCACACAAGTTGTTGCCAACTTATATTGGCCCTTATGAAATACTGGGGGTATTTGAGGACTCATCAAACTATGTTGTAGGCCAGATAACCTACTATACTCTACACTGCCAGTATTTTCGTGGTTTACTTTCATTAAGGGTTCCTCGCATGCAAAGATCACCTACCAATGCTACCAAAGCCCATGGTGCATAAAAACATTTTTCATTTTATTATGGAATACAATTGCGCATAACACGCTGGTACTGAATTGGTCCAGCCCAAAAACTACGCTTGGCGCTACTGTCCACTGAGAGACAATCAAGGGCTCAGAAAATAGAGAAAAATCATAAACATGGGTTCCCCTGAATTTCATCCAGATCGACCCAGCCGTTGTGGGGCAATGGTGGTGACGATTTCTCATCTTACCGCAAGGTTCCACACAATGTCAAAGGGCACATTGTAGGTGGGATAACCTACTATACCTTACACCACCAGTATTTTCGCGGTTTTACGTTCCTTAAGGATTTCCCATATGCGATGATCACCTACCAATGCCAATGGTGCATAAGAACATTTTATTTCATTTTATTATGGAGTACAATTGCACATAACATGCTGGTACTGAATTGGTCCAGCCCAAAAACTATGCTTGGCACTACTGGCCGCCAAAAGACGATCAAGGGCTCAAAAAATAGAGAAAAATCATAACTATGGATTCCCCGAATTTCATCCAGATCGACCCAGCCGTTGTGGAACAATGGTGGTGGCGATTTCTCATCTTACTGCAAGGTTCCACACAATGTTGAAAGGCACGTGAGGGTGGCAGTGTTGAAAGTCCCATGTGGCAGAGCTGAGATCTGTACTTCAGAAGATCACGAAACTGGTTTTTGGCCCCAAAATGGAAATCACAAGCTGTACCAAAGTAAACAAACAACCAAAATGCACTCCAGAGTGCTCAGAAAAATTCAGAAAAATCACAAAGGATGCATATGAAGATCCAATTGACACGGGGACTCTTGCGGACACTTTCCAGGATGTCTAACCCTGTGCACGGGCCGAATCTCACGATTCTCACGCCCACCACTCGGTCAAATCACAACCATTTGGGACAAATTTGGTATCAGGAGAGAGCTACGGACCCAGGGAATCAAATGGAGGTATCGGGAAGGGATGCTATGGGTAGGAAGAGATGGATGAGTGTGGTGTGATGGTGGAAATTGGTGGAGGATGGCAATTATTAGTGGATATGGCCCACTTATCACTCCTGTTTTTCTTTTATTGAACTTCCACGTTGGCCATTGGACTTATCGGCTGTACTTAACGGTCCACATGGTGTCCATAACAACAATTTTTTGCTTCTTTCATTTTTCCCACATTATTGCCATTCCATGTGTTTTAAAAGCTCTGTACATGTAGGAATGGAAAAGTGACCTCCCTTTTGACTACAAAGAGACTGTAGCGCTGAGAGATCCAAGTAGAAAAGAAATTCTAAGCTTGACTCCTCAAGTATTATAAGGAATCCCTGACGATTGTCCAAGACGGACCAGGGTATGTAATTCTTAATGAGGTTTTGTGATTGTTTTTGTTTTGTTAGCACCCGGACCGAACCTAGGACGAGCTCAGGACATTCTAGACTCCCTCCCCACGAATTTGCTTGCATATAGGGGGTTAGATCTCTAGCCTGCTTGCAATGTCCTCAGGCTTCCCCCAGTGTTGACACAAAGAAACATCTTTGCGAAGTTCCACATCTCACAGTGTCAGAGACCAGATCCAGGATGAAGAAGGCATCCCCATGGTGGAGGGCTTTGGCCTCAGCGACTTATCCCAGGAGTGCTGTGCCTAGTTACACGTCCGTGCCCTAATTTACTAACTGGCAAGGAGTACTAGAAGAGGGGAAACTCTAGTCGATTTTAAGGTGCAACTGTCAGGGACAGCTCCGAAAGTGGCAAGGTCCCGGTGCAAGGGAGGTGATGGGACAGGTGTCGGCTATGTGTAGTGGTGGTCCCATCATGGGGTGAGTGTCCCTGACCACTTAGTCTGAAGTGGGAAGTTGAGAAGAAGGCTGCTTCTTCTGTTCCCACCCCAGGCGCTATTATATACATGCGGTTAGGGTCACATGGGGGGAGCCATGTCATCTCCGCACACAGCCACACCTCCCTGGGTGTCTCTGTGGGAGATCCCGGAGGTGTGCCACATCAGCAAACCTGGATGCGGAGGCCTGAGAGCTCATAGAGCTCATAGAGCTCTCTGAGCTCTCAGAGCTCTCAGAGCTTCAGTACTCTCAGTACTTTGAAATTGCAGGGCCCCTTCTCTGAGAGCTCCGAAAAATAGTCAAAGCTCTGAGAGCTCATAAAGCTATATTTGCACACAGGGGACTATTATCTATATGAGCTCCCTGAGTGTTTAATTTACCTGATATTAAAATTTAAATTTAAAAGCATTGACTATGGCATCATGTGACTAGCCATAGCCAAGTCCCTACCATACAAGGGACTGAACAAACTCAGCTTAACTTTCAGCACCAATGCAGCACCACACACCAAGGGTATGTAGCCCAGTTAATATATAGACCAAATTTAGGGATATAAATGCAGTTAATCTGAAATTACTTAGGGAAAATGAGTGGGGAAATGGGGGGGAATGGGGGGGAATTGGGGGGGATGAGGGGGGGAATGAGGGGAAAATTGAAGGGGGGGATGTGTAAGGGATGGTAGCCCCACCCCTTACTCTTCATCTTAATTCTATATGTGTCTCATAATAAACATGTATAAACAATGTATATACAATAACGTGGGAATTTGGGAAAAGGGAATGAAGCTTTTTTCCTCCCCATTGTTGAACAATCATAGCGCTATACAGCTTAATATTCAACAAACTGAGGGCTGAGGCTAACTGGGGTTGGAACCTACACCAACCCCATACACTTTTTTAAGCTCAATAGGCTTTATTCTCACACCTGTGCATGCATATTCACGTGCACGGGTTATTCAACACCACCCACACAACTTGCCTTCTAGACGTGGAGCCTATAATTTTCCCCCAGCTCTGCAAAGAGCTGACTCTATGTGCGAAAGTGCATATGGTTCCATGGCCAACTCTAGTGCTGGTGATGCCAGCATTAGTCAACTTGATCTTAATCAGATCAGTATTTCTGATGCATCTGGGCCTGCAGTTTCCCCAGATGCATCGGAAATGGCATCACTCCACCCCCTGGAGTTGATGATGATTCAGCTGGAACAGCAGTTGCGCCAGCTGTGTGCAGACTGGGTGAAAGATCACACCTTATGGAAGGCGGATAGAGCTGCCTTTGCTGCCAGAGTGGACAGGATCGAGTGCAGGCTCACTGCACTCGAAGAATGACAAGCCCGTCGTTCGCATGCATGCGCTGAAAAGTGTGCATCCCAAAATGCACCAGTTCCTCTGGAGCTGCCCCAGCCCCCACCCGTTCCCCCCTGCTCCAAGGGGATGGAGATGGTTGATCCAACCATCTCTCAACCGGTTTTAGACCAGGTTGAAAACAGTCCAGCACCTGTGGACTGCGATCTCGCTGAAGCATGCAGCGCTTCAATGAGTCCTGAGCCTTCACAGGCTCTTCTTTCTACCATCACCCACAGGTCTGGAACCGTCCCAGACCCGATCCAATCCCCTCCCTCACCCCTTGAACACCCACTCCCAGTGTTCGTGGGTCCGCTAAGGACTCCAACTTTGACTCCACGCTTGCCAATCTGGCAAGCATACACTGTGGGAAATATTTCTCAGTAAATGACCACAATTACTTTGGTAATTGACCATTTACCATCATTTCAATGGTTTTTAGAGTCTAGTATTTTACCAAATCGAAATTGCGAGTCAAAGAACCGACTTTTCATAGCAAGTATTTTACAACATGTACCACAGTAACTTGTGCAGGTGCATAAAATCATCATATTTTCACCTCATTGTCACTACAAACTGAGTCCCAGGACGTATTCTATTGCCATGCGCTTATCAGGGGACACCAAGAAGGTAAGACCACCAGGAAGTCTGATCGGGGAGTCGGAGTGCGGGGCGCTAATATGTCACCCTCAGTACTGTGGGCAGTACGTGCCTCAATCCTGCCCTTGGAGGCCATTTGCACAACGCCTCACAAAGGCAAGCCAGTATTGGGTGCAACCTTATGTGGCATTTCATTGCTACTTTACTTGTCAGAAATGATTTCAAGATAAAGTTGAACTGGACAGAAACTCCTGGGCCCACCAAACTTCCTCTTCTCTCTCACTGTAACACTCACCACACACATCGGATTCATGCCTGGCTGCTATGACACGTGTAGTTAGGCCTTGGTTTGCTGTGGTTTGTTTTTCATCTGTCCAGTTGAGCATTGCAAGTGGAAAATTGTGCGATCGGCACCTCCGATCTTGGTGATTCTATGCAAATCACAGGCCCAAGAGATACCCACATTTGTGGTTACCCTTCGATCCCTTTATCTTGAGAGTCCAGCACTGCAAATGCATGTGCCATTTTTGGACTTCTTGATCAACCCCCGGTCTGCTTGATGAAGGGGTCGATTTCACGGTTATTTCCAGCCACTGTGTCGCCTCAACCCACCATCCATCAAGAGAGAGCCCGAGCATCTGCTCAGCAGGGTGTTGTCTGGCCCCGGAGTATGTCCACTATTTTTAGTTTCTTCTGGGCTCATCATAATTCTCCTGAAAAACTCCTGGACCAAGTATTCCTGCATCCATCGTGGCATTTCCCACACCCTCTGCCTGCAGCGGCGAAGCTTGTGTGGTTGTTGTTTGGTCAAGATTCCCATTTCCTTGCCTCCACCACCTTTCTGACTCCCTTTCACACCAGGAAACAATCAAAATGTGCAAAAGCAACCAGAGTTTGAGAGCTGAAAGTACACATCCAACCTGCTGATGTGCTTGGACCATCTTGGAAGACAAGGTTCTATCCGGTACCTCATGGTGCCTCATGTTGGAGTTGAGATTCTTGGCTGCTCATAGGTTTGTGTCTGTCATTTTACTCTCAATTCTGAGGTTTCCTGCATTTTTACTAGGCTGCACGGTCCGTGCTGTATCAAATCAACACTCATATCTAACCCCCACTCGCCTCTTGCCCACTGCCCAAAACAGCCTGATTTCCCATTCATAATCAATGCTGTTTGCTGTAATGCAACATGAGATGCGATGTCGTTTTCACTGTATATTACCATATTAATAGCCACAAATAACCATGAACCGTTATGTATTTTACCATCCACAATCATCGTAAATTACCAGACCCATGAGGTAAAATACCAAATACGACCATTGTAAAGTGACCGTTTACCATCATTGAGATGGTAGAAAACTGTGAAAAAGTAGGTCTTTTACCCTCATTAGTATGGTAAGTAAAGGACCATAGTCTTAATGGTAAAATACTATTTGAATCATCATAAAAGTGAAGGTATTTTACCATCTTTAAAGTGGTTTTTTACGCGACTCTAATTCCCACTGTGCATAGTAGTTCTCCTGCCCAGTAGAAATACTGGGCTACACCATCTGAGATCAGCTGATACAGCCGATCAACTCCCTTCATATCTGAAGGGAGATCGCGATTCGAAGACAGGATTAAATCCTGATCTTTTCCTCAGATTGCGCAGACTGGAAACAGTCTGCGCTACCTTTTGCTGCTATTGACTAGCAGCAATCTCTCATTCTGAGAGGCTCCTTAGCCTCTCAGAATCTCTTAGACTCTTTCTGCTAGCCTGGCGCTAGCAGATTACTTTTCATAACTTACTGACACGTGGATCGTGCCAGATTTCTTCCATACCCGACTATGCCGGGTTTTCCGTCGATCAAGGCCGTGAAGCAGCCTTGATACGACTTCTCAAACCGCTAAGAATCGCGGTTTACACCTACTTTCGCAGCTTTAATGACCACAAAAGACTTGCGCGACTCTCATCAGCACTTGGACACCAAGTGGGCCTCACTGCCCACTTGTCCTCACTTCCTCTCATACCGAGAGGTTAGAGATGGTCTATACGACCATCTCCCAACCGGTTTACACCGGATCGACGGCACCTCAGCATCTGCTGAGTGCCAGCTCACCAAAGCGCTTCGCGCTTTGGTGACTTCTGGGCCAGTTGAACAAACTGGCCATATCTTCTTATTCCTTTCGTCTAGAAAGGCTATAGACGGTCTCTATGACCGTCTTCCTACCGGTTTTATGCCGGTATTACAGCTCCAGCTTTTGCTGGGAGCTGACTCATGTCTGCGCCACATGCGCGCACTCCACCAACTTCAGGGCCTGTAAAATTTATGGCCCTGATACCTCTTCGTCTCATGTTGAGAGGTTATATACGGTCTATCTGACCGTATCCCTACTGGTTATCACCAGTATGTCGGCTCTACAGCTTTTGCTGAGAGCTGACTTTGGGAAGCACGACCCGCTTCACCAATTTCCGGAGTTTGCATCATAGATGCAACTCCTCTCTCTCTCTCAAGAATGAGAGGCTAGAGACGGCTGAATAAGCCGTCTCCCTGTTGTTTTTAGGTGCAATTAAGCACTTACTAACACTGGGCCATATAAGTGCGCTTGCGCTTCTGGCCCAACTCCTTATTTACCCATTTTTATGGGTAATATCTTCATTTCTGCTCCCTAAACAATCAAGAGGCCTTCACTGGCCTGGGGTTTATTGACCCCAACACTCCCTACATCAGCAAATGGTCTACATTCAGTTTGGCCACTTCTGTTGGATATGTCCACCAGAAGTGGCCAAACTGGCCAAAGTGCCCAAAGTAAAATAAACTAGTCCCTCCGATTCAATTTCAGGGCCAAACTTAATTGTTTTGAGTGGTACAACTGTGGGAATTGTGCTTGGAGCCATTGAGTTCAGCCCTGAAATTGAATTGGAGGGACCTAGTTTATTTTACTTTGGGCACTTTGGGCAGTTTGGCCACTTCTGGTGGACATATCCAACAGAAGTGGCCAAACTGAATGTGGACCATTTGCTGATGTAACAGCTGTTTAGGGAGGAGCGGCCATAAATGACATAGGGTTTCATGACCCTATGTTCTTATTTTACTTTTAATTCTTCTGTAAAGGTCCAACTGCCTTTACAGGTTACTTTTGATTCCTCTGTGATGGCCTAACCACCTTTGTCACCTCTATTCTGTATATTTTTAAAAATTAAAATTCTTAATTTTGTAAAGGTTTAACCACCTTTACTTTTCACTTTCATCTTTTTTGAAAGATTTTTTTTCCTTTCTTCCTACATCATCTCTCTTGTGTGTGATATTAATATCACAACGGAGGAGAGTGTAAGGAATGGTAACCCCACCCCTTACTCTCCATCTTAATTCTATATGTGTCTCATAATAAACATGTATAAACAATGTATATACAATAACATGGGAATTTGGGAAAAGGGAACGAAGCTTTTTTCCTCCCCATCATTGAATAATCATAGCTCTATACAGCTTAATATTCAACGAACTGAGGACTGAGGCTAACTGGGGTTGGAACCTACACCAACCCCTTACAGGATGGGGGGGAATTGAGGAGGGAATTGGGGGGGAATGAGGGGGAAAATGATGGAGGAAATGGGGGGTAATTGAGGGGGAAAATGAGGGGGGGTGTCACATCCATCTACAGCCATTGTCCTCCACTACCTCCAATCCTTCCAGACTACCTCCGCTCCTTCTTCACTAACCTCGGAGCCCCTGTATTCCGCAATCACCTCTGACTCTCTCGATGGTCACCACCCCCTCCTTTCCCTAAGTACGGAGCCCTGAAGGCCTCTGGACAGCTCCAACGTCCACTGGTGCACTCCCACCCCTGCTGGGCAATTCACTTGCTTGCCCTGCAAGTCTACCTTTGGGCCTATCCCTCCTTTCCGTTTCTGGGTTATAGCCTGCCATTCCGCTAACCCCATAACCTGACTTGTCGGTAATATTCAGTTGGCTAATGTTTAACTCCATTAGCTCCACTCCGCTCGGCCCCGCCATTCATGGGCGTGCCCTCGCTGTAACTATATATACTTAACTTGTAGATAGGTTACACCCCAGTGATAAATCAACTATTAATCCCCCTTTAGTTCTCACTGCCAGTAAGTAAATTAGGGCACGGACATGTAACTAGGCACAGCGCTCCTGGTCTGAGTTGCTGAGGCCAAAGCCCTCTGCCACAGAGACAACTCCTTCGTCTCACTTCCGGTCTCTAACAGGGGGAATGGGTGAAATTTGGAGGGGAGAATGAGGGGGAAATGAGGAGAAAATTAAGGAGGAATTGGGGGGGGGGATGAGGGGAAAATCGAAGGGGGGATGAAGGGGAACATGGGAGGAAAATGAGGGGGAACTGGGGGGTTTCTAGAAACTTGAAAAAAAGTCAGGGAAAATTAAGGAAAATTCAGAAAATGGGGGACTTTCTAAAAAAGGAGAATGTCCAAAAAATCAGGGGAAATTAGGGTGAAAATCAGAAATTTTGGGATAAGTTAGGGAGAGATATTTCAGGAAATTAGGAATAATTGGAAAAAAAAAATAAGGTGCTGATTTTAGTAAACACAAAAGGTATATGAGCTCCATGAGCCCACTGAGCTCATAGAGCTTTCAGAGCAATGACAATGGCCATTTTACACACATATATATCCATATTATCTTTGCACTTCTGCATCTGAGTAACAACTGAAAAGTGTAATATCTCCCATGGGCTCCATGGGTGTTCATGGATACCCATGAATACCCATGGGAGCATCATGGATGTTTATAGAAGTCCATGACAGTGCATGAACAACAACA